AAAAAAAAAAAAAAAAAAAAAAAGACCATCTATGGCCATACTACCCTCAGTGTGCCTGATCTCACCAAACAAACAAAAGACAAAACAAAACAAAAGCAGCATGGACTTTAGCCAGTTGAGTAGGGGAGTCATGTAACCTGAGTTGCTTTATATAGAGGAGGTGGATTGAAGGGAGGAGAATTTAAGTTGGAGAAATATGAGAAGAAGCTGGGATATGATTCAAGTAAGAGATGATGTGGACCTGAGCTTATGCAAAAGGAAAGGGATTTGTTCATCTCTGTAGTAAATACCTGCTTAACTTTTGCTATATACTGAACCTGTCCTGGCACTGGGGAACAATAACAAACAAGATAGCAGTGCTGCCTTCAAAAAACATATAATCTAGTGGAGCGAGATAGTCAATACATAAATACAGGTAGTACTATATACTTTGAAAGAAAACGTAGCAAGGTAAAGATGGCAGGACTGCAATGCTAGATAATGCTCAGGAATATTCTCAAAGGGTTGCCTTTTGACCAATGACCTAGAATGACGTAAGGGAACCAGCTCTGTGATAAGAGGAAAACATTCCAGGCTGGAAAAACTACAAGCGCAAAGGCCCTGGGTAGAAGAATGTTTGGGCTCTTTGAGCAACAGCAAAGAAACTAGTGTGGCTGGAACTGAGTTAAGCAAGTTGGAGAATAGAAGGAATTGAGGAGAAGAATTTAAAGAGATAACAAGGTCCTAGTTAATGTTGGGCTTTAGAATCTTTGGTAAGGATGTTGGATTTTATTCTAAGATATATCAAATCTGTTGTAGGATTTTGAGAGGGAGGAAGTGACAAGGTTTTACTAATATTTTTAAAGGAACCCTTTGGCTACTGTGTGAAGAGGCAGTAAGGAGGCAAGAGTAGAAGCAGGGAGACAAATTGGTGGACTGCACAGTAATGTTGGCAAGGAAAGACAACAGCGTGGCCTACATGGGTAGAAATGAAGACCCCAAAGCCCTTTCCCAATATTAAGAATGACTACATTATTGATGACTTACTATGTCCATGGCTCTGAGCTCATTGCTTGCAGTGCATCATCTCCTTTAATTCCCACAGAGACTTCATGTAGTAGGTTCTCTTATAGTCACCACATTATACAAGAAAGAGGACACTGGATCTCAGAGAGGTAAAGCAATTTGCCCAAGGCCATATGGCATTTTGGTGGAGCACTTAGAACCAGGACTCAAATCTGACGGAAGGACTCCTGAGGCAGTGCTCTGAACACCCTAAATGTGTGTATGTTGGGGGATGCTTTTCAGATGAGTTCACAGAGGAGGAGATTGAGTTCCTGGAAGCCAGGGGTCACCACGTGGAGAAGGTAGATGTCTTATCCTGGGTCCACGGCAGCCGGAGAACCAACAATCTCATCATTGGTGTGAAGGACCCTCGGAGCCCAGATGCAGCTGGAGCCCCCATTCTGTAGAGCTGTTGGGTGGGGCGGGGTCTGTGCTCCCCTCCCCCATTTGCATGTTCCCAGAGTCCCTCCTTCTCCCAGGTTTGGTCTCAGGGGAAACCCAGAATCGTCCAGATCAGGGGCAGGTGAGAGGGGATGCTTAGCAAACCCTATCCCAGAGTAACTGGAAAATTCTCCATCAGGAAGACTGTGGTGGTGGCGGTTGAGTGTCAGTGTTCATGACCGGGCAGGCAGGACCTTGAGGACTCAGACTGTCCATCTGTCTGTCTCCTCTCCTCTCTCAGCCATGCTGGCCCTGAGCTTACAGATGTGCTTGCAAACCTTTCTCAAGAGTCTCACAACCCCAACATGTACAGACTGGCCTGACCTAGGCCTTGTCTTCCAGCTCCCTCCTCTTGTCCCCAGCCCCGTTTCTTAAGTGACTAGAGCTTTTTTAAAGAAACTATCATGAAGAGGGGGTAATCCTTTCCTCCTACTACTAGGTTGGGGCAGAGGCCTTGCATCTGGGGGTCCCCAGAGTGTGGGGTAGGGGTGGGGGTGGGGACCAGCTCAGGGGCTTCCATTTGCAAAGAAAGATTAAAGAAAGTATTGCTTAACCAAGGCTCTGGCTTCATTTATGTTTAACTGGCTTGGAAGTGGGAGTGGGAGAGGAGACTTGGCTCACCATGTCCTAGGGGAAGCTGGAGTCAGCTTTGTATCATAATACAATGATATATAATGGACTAATGATAATTAAGAACTTACTGAACTGGGTGGCGCAGGTGTTTTCCTATAGCCCTCAGTACTCAGGAGGCCAAGGCAGGAGTATCGCTTGAGCCCAGGGTTTCCAGGGCAGCCTGGGAAACACAGAAAGACCCTGTCTCAAGAAATAAACAAACATGGGTGGGGGATTTAGCTCAGTGGTGCTGCCACCTGCTTTGCAAGCACAAGGTCCCAAGTTCAATCCCCAGTACCAAAAAAAACAAACAACAAACAAACAGGGCTGGAGCTATAGCTCAGAATGTTTGTCCAGCATGCATAAGGCCTACTGAAAACTTACTGTGTGCCAGGTTCTATGCTAAGAACTTTACGTGAGTAATCATAATTAATCTCCATCCCAAACCTCATGAGGCAACCATTAATATATATATATTTTGGACAGGAGGCTCTTTTGTTTGTTTGTTTTGTTTTGTTTTTGGTACCAGGGCTCAAACTCAGGATCTTGCACTTGTGAGGCAGGTGGCAGAACCACAGAGCTAAATACCTGGCCCAACCATTAATAAATACTATTACCATTTTACAGATGGGGAATAGGCAAAAAGAGGTTAAGGGATCTGTCTAAAGTAATTCATCCTTTGTGCATATGTGGTGGAGGGTACTGGAGTTTGAACCCAGAGCCTTCATACTGAACTATAACTCCCGCTTTTTTAAAAAAATTATTATTTTAGTTTATTGGTACATGTGTGTAGTGCATAGTTTACATTCCTTGTGGGAAGTTGGTACATGTACATAACACTTCTTAGTTCCTTTTTTGTTACCCTTTCCCTCTACCCATCCCTTGAGCCCCTTCTTTTTCCTTTTTCTTTTTCTATACATGTTTGTAGTATATTATGTTTACATTCCTTGTGTGGAGTTGGTACATGTATATAACACACCCCAATTCCTTTTTCACCCTTTATCCCTTTCCTTCCTCCCCCAGCCCTTTTTTATTTTTCATTTTGAGATATGGTCTTGCTAAGTGGTCCAGGCTGGGCTCCAACTTACGGTCCTCCTGCCTCAGCCTCTCACAGTGCTGGAATTAACCGGTGTGCAGCACCTCATCCAGCTTCCCTCTCTAATGGAAGAATTTCAATCTCAGGATTTCCAACTGTAGAAGAATCTGTTAACCAACTCCCTTAACCAATTCCACATCTATTGGGTGAACTATTTGTTTTAAAGTATACTTCACATAGTATATATCAGACAATAAATACCTTTTGCAAATTGTGTCATTTATTCATACATGCATCCGTCGTGTTCCAAACACTTTGTTAGGTACTAGAATTCATTTCTGGATAAGATGAACAGGCTATATTTTATGGGTTTGCAGTCTATAGGGGAAAGTCAAACATTAACAAAAGAAGTACACAGATAATTAAGGTAATTGCCATCATAAGCTCTAAAGTATCCCTTGTAAAGGGAATATAATAGATGTTATGTATGTAACAATCATTCAAATGTCAAATGTCTCATAAATACATAATGTAGATGATCAACCCCCAAAGTCCTAACTTTCCAAAAATTATACTATCAATAATTTGATATGTATTTCTCCATTTTTTCTGCACATTAACATATGTTTGAAATATAAAAATTGAATTATATTTTTATACTGTCTGCAACTTCCTTTTTTTAAATTTACAAAGATAGCATGGGCGTTTTCCCATGTCAAAGTATATGGATCTACCTTGTAATTTATAATGATGAATCATAGTTCATTGAAGGATTTAACCAGTTTCCTGCTGATGGATATTTGAGTGGTTTCCAGTGCAGCTTTGAACATCTTTGCCTTGGTATCTGTAGCTAAGTGAGCCCTGCCTGTCATCATGCCAGCTCTTCTAGGCTGTCTCTCAAGTGATAGAATGTCTAAGTCCATTAGAGACGCTATAACAAAATACCATCAACTAGTAGCTCATAAACAATAAAAATTTATTTCTTACAGTTCAGGACACTGGGAAGTCCAAGATCAAGGCATCGGTAGATTTGGTGCCTGGTAAGTGCCTGCTTCCTCATAGACAGGCACATTCTGTGTCCTTGCATGGTAGAAGTGGCAAGGTAGCCCTCTAGTGTCTCTTTTATAAGGGCACTAATCTCACTCATTCAATGACCTAATCTCTTCTCAGAGGCCCAACCTCCTAATACCAATGCATTGTTCACTAGGTTTCAACTTGAGAGTTGGGGGAGGACACAAACATTTAGAGCATAGCATGAAATTTCAGCCCCTTCCACTCAATGCACTTTCTAGAGGTCACGTGAGTCTCTTGGAGTTATTTTTTCTTTCTTAGATATACGAATTAAGAACAGCTTTGGATAAAAATTTGTTCAATGGAAAGATTCTTGCATATTAAAATAATGAATGGGCTTGAGTAGCTCATTGGTAAAACATATGCTTAACATGTTGAGGCTGTGAGTTCAATCCCAAACATAAAAAAATCTAATATATTAGGAAAACTGTTTTAACACTCCATATATGAAACATCATTTATGTATTTTATATATTTTGTTAAGTGCTTGCACTGTACTGTAATGCAGCCTGAGGCACTGATGACCAGACACAGAAAGCTCTTGCTTTTCTGGATCCTATATCCTTTTTTTTTTTTTGAGACAGGGTCTCACTATGTAGTTGAGACTGACCTGGAACTCACTATGTAGCTCAGGCTGGTGTTGAACTCACAGCTATCCTCCTGCCTCAGCCTCCTGAGTGCTGGAATTACAGGCGTGCACCACCACATCCGGCCGCTGGATCCTATATTCTTAACCATTTTTACTTTATTAGGTTGCACTACCTAAAGATATCATAGATAATATAAAATTTACTTCACACTAAGAACGTATGTTTTTCTAACTGAGATGAAGAGACAAGAAGCTTGGAAATGTTAAGGGTTTTTTACAATATTCTCTAACGCCTCAAATAACTCAAAGGTATAACTTGCTTATTTGGCACTACTTTTACTTTCCTGGTTGCTATTAGTAACTTTTTAAATGATCACTATAGGCACTGGTCAACATTGACTTTGTTCTTATCAATCTACTTCTTGTAAGATAAGAGATATTTTCCACACTAGGAAGGAAGTAATCTGGATCAATCACATCATCAAAATACCTAAGAATTCAATAATAAAATTAAATATGAATGGATTAAAAATCCAATGAAGAGGGCCAAGGATTTGGCTCAGTGGTTCCACTGCTGAGTTCGATCTCCAGTACCAAAAAAAAATTTTTTTTAATCCAATGAAGAAACAGAGTCATACTTGATATAAAAATAAGATGCAGCAATATGATGCCTACAAAAGACTTTAGATACAAAGACAAAAATAGATTGAAAGTGAAGGACGGGAAAAGAAACATCATGCAAATACCATGAGAAAGCTAGAGTGACAAGACTAATGCAAGACAAAATAGACTTAAAGCAAAATGCCACTTAGAGATAAGACTATTTTGTAACTGTAAGAGGGTCAATCCATCAGGAAGATGTAACAGCAGAGACAAAAGTAAAAACATGAAACACTAACAAAAATAGAGAAATAATATTTGGAGATGCCAATACTTTATTCTCAACAGTGGGTAGAATAGCCAAGGAGAAGATCAAGAGGGAAATTATAGATTTGAACAGAACTACAATTCAACTACACCTAGAAGATATCTGTAGAACTCTCTTTCCCAAAACAGCAGACTATGCATTCTTCTCAAATGCATGGAACCTTCTCCAGCATGGACAACATGCTAGAGCATAAAGCAAACCCTAACAAATGTAAAAGGAAAGAAATAACATAAAGAGTGATTTTCATCCACAATGAAATGAAATTAGAAGTCATTAACAGAAAAAAAAACAAACATATGGAAAATAAACACTCTTAAAACCAATGGGACATAGAAGAAATAAAAGAGAAACTAGGAAATTCGGATAAATGAAGATGAAAATACAGCATGTCAAAATTTATGGTATGAACATATGCTGGTGGGTGTAATTACGTGCTGTTAATCATAGCACTTGGGTGGCTGAGGCAGGAGAATCACCACAAGTTCAAGGCCAGCCTGAGCCACATGATGAGTTCAAGGCCAACCTGAACTACATAATGAGATCCTGTCTCAAAACAAACAAGCAAACAAACCAAATTTATGGGATGCAGCTAAAGTAGTGCTCAAAGGAAATTTTAATATTTATATAAAATATATTTTAATCTTTATGTATTCCTATATTTAAAAAGAAGAAAAAACATCAAATTAATAACTGAAACTTCCACCTTAAGACACTAGAAAAGAAAGGGAAAACTAAACCTAAAGCTAGCAAAAGGAAAGAAATCAAAAAGGTTAGAGCAGACATTAACAAAATAGAAAACACAAAGACAATATAGAATCAATGAGCCTAAGCCTTGATTCTTTTAAAAAAAATTAACAAAACTGATAAGAAAAAAAGAGAGGAGACTCATATTACTAGAATAAAAAAAATAGGAAACTACTGTCATCCCTACAAAAATAAAAAGTGTTTGTAGCTGGGTGTAGTAGTACACAACTGTAATCCCAGCACTTGGGAGGCTGAGGCAGGAGGATTGCCATGAGTTCAAGTCCAGCCTGAACTATATAGTAAGACCCTGTCTCAAAAGATAAAAAGGAAAGAAAGAAAGAAAGAAAAAAAAACAGTTGCAAAGAAATACCATGAACTGTCATTTATTAATAAATCAGATAATTTAAATAAAATGAAAAGTTTTCAAGTAGGAAACATATCAAGCTGGGCTTCATAGCTTATGTCTATAACCCCAGCTATAGAAAGAAGAGACAATCTGCAGAATGAGAAAAAAATTTTGCTAGCCATTCCATGGACAGAGGACTAACATCAAAAATATGTAGGGCTGGGGATTAGCTCAGTAGTTCCACCACCTACCTTGCAAGCACAGGTCCTGAGTTCAATCCCTGGTACCCCCCACCCAAAAAAATGTATATGAAGAACTCAGGCAGGGGATTTAGCTCAGTGTTGTTGCCACCTGCCTTGAAAGCAAAAGGTCCTGAGTTCAATCCCCAGTACAAAAACAAAACAAAAAATTTAAATTCCCCTAAATAAAAGACCCAATCAAAAAATG